AATATTGTCATCAATTACAATTTACAATAACAACTAATATAACTTCATCTATTTTTCCTACATTACATCAACCATATTATGAATTAACTCAATTGATTAATCAATGTGTAAAAAATAATAATAATAATAATATTGAACAACGTTGGTTACCTTTAATTAATTGGATAGAATCAAAATTAAATACTAATCCATCAATACTTAATATTATTGAAATAAAAGTAATGTTATTATTAAATATTTATTATAATTATTATTGTAATGCTCAATTAAAATCTCTTGATCATTTATTAATTATCATTGAAAATACAATATTTCAATTATCAGATGAAGAACGACGAGTATTTCGTATTCTTTTAAAACCTGAACAATATATGATTGGATATATAAAAGAAAATAATCATATAGATAAAAATTATCTTAATAATTTATTTAAAGTTGATTGTCAAGATGATGATGAATTACCTATACGTCATATACTTGTTAATCTTTTAGCAATGATTTTACTTAGTGGAAAAGAAAATCCATTTTGGACATTTCTATTTCAACCATTGAAATTGGAAGAAACCTTTGGTGAGTTTTAATTAAGTTCCTTCCTAATGCTTAAAAATTGAGTGGATAACGAAACTTCTTCGAGAAATCTGAGAGTTACGATCAGAAAAACATAAATAGAGAAAAAGCAAAATAAAAAAAGATTTTCTGTTTTATGTAAAGGAATTCTATTCTTCAAACACAATGTGACAAAAATTATTAAAAAAATTTTTCAATATTGTCACATAGAGAATCATCAGACTTCAGACTATTTTATCATGTATTTGATTCAATATCAATTTTTCTCATGAAAATTGATTTCTGTTGTTATTGTTTTTTTTTTGAGAAAACCCAAAATGAATTTATATAGTTATATTGCAAAATATCGATATATATTCATATAATTAGACAATTATACAACAGCTTTCAGTTCAATAAATAGTTCGTTTTCAAGAACGATATCTAATGACAAAAAACAAAAAGAATCAGAACTGTTTTAAATCTGTGATAGTTGAAGTTTATTCGAACTATTTAAATGAGTCTTTAAAAAAGAGTAGTCCACCAAAGTTCCTTTAATATAGGAACGAAGAATGTGTAATCTTGATATAAATACTGAAATACTGACAGTGAATTACCGAACTATAACTTTGAAATATTTCTCGTGTATTCTATGATAAGTTTTGGATCAACTGCAAATTCACCTATTCGGAGAACTGGTGTTCATTACGATTGTGGATGTATAATATCTGAAGCAGGAGCATTAGTACCATTTTCTACGGGAAGTATACTCAGTGTTCCATCTGTTTATATTGTTTATTTTGCTACTTTCGGTGCTATGGTAAGTGTCTAGTCAAATATCATATTGATTTTATATATTGAATCCTTGTTTTTTTTTGTATATCAACTAGGCTTGGCATTTATTATTATTTGAATCATCTGTACAAAATCTTTATAATTGTATTCTTGCTAAAAATGCAATTGATTCTAAAGTAGTAACAGAATGTATGGGTGGTGATAGTATTCGAGCAAAAGTATGTCATTTTATTCGTGCACGATTATTATCAACATATCATTTTCTTTCAATTCAATTCAATCAAAATGATGCTTGTCTTTTATTGAATCGTTGTTTTGAATTATTTACTCAATTTAGTCGTCAAGAAAATCAAAATTCATGGATTAAACCGATTTACAAAACAATCAATGAGAAATATGAAGCTGAACAAGAATTTCAAAATAAAATTTTCTATTTAACACATCAAAAATTAATCGATTATAAAAAACTAATTAATCTAATACAAACACAATCTCCACTACAAACTAAATTACAAGAATATATAATTCAAATGCCTATTATAATTGATTTCATTCATTTTAAAACTGAATTATATAATCCAGAATTGAATCAATTACCTTTGACAATTTTAAAACGTTTACTTGATTCATTTGATTTTTTAAAAATAACTCGATATATCTATGCTTTAAGTCAATTTCATATTCTTTTACATCGAACATTTACTCAATTAATTGAACGAGAAGAATTTCTTACAATTACATTGAAACAATTATATGAACGAGTTCATCAAAGTTCAAATCATTTTTATGAAATAAATCAAAAAAATAAATATTATACAATTATTCAAAATGGAATTGAAGCTATTAATGCTTATCATAAATTTACTAATGGACAAATTCGACCAGGTGCCTGTGATACTACTCAACTTTTTCAAACAATTTCTATGGAAACACCAATAAACTATCTCGTTGAAACAGATAATTATGATGAAGGAGATATCATTATGCGTATATTGAGGTAGGAGAAAACAATCGAATTTTACTATGATCAAATAGGACAGTTTTCCCTTCTTCGATAGATTGTAAAAATTATGTACTAAATTTGCATTCAATCTAAATATTTACTAATCCAATAGTTAGATTCATGATGAAACTAACAGATCAAATCTAACCTTATTAATTTAACACGATATTACAGTGATAGTTTTCCAGCTGCCATGAACTTCTTTATATTGAATTAAATAAATTGATTATCATATATTCGAAGATAATTAAATATCGATAGTACAATATGTAATGCATCTATTGTTTTTTATTTTCATTTTAGTGTTCTTGTCGATTATCACAATAATCTTCTCGAATTACTTGAGACAGAAATAAAAAATCATGGTGATATTCTTGATTTAGGTCCATTGAAAGATATCATTTTTGAATTATCAAAAAGAGAAATATCAATTTTACAGATTATTCAAGAAAATATGGGTATAATTACATTAAATAAAATGGATTATCAATGGATTGAACAATTATCTCGAGCTAGTCTTGAAAATGAAAATAATTATTTTATTACAATTGATACATCATTAAAATTTAATTTTCTTTATGTTCAATCATATCTTATTCGAACATATCTTCTCTATTGTCGTATTAATTATCAACATATCAAAGGAAAATATCAATGTTATACTCGAAAAAAAATTCCGATTATTACAAATGATATTAATATGAATTTTAATATACTATTAATCGATGAATGGAATCATTTAGAACAAAAGAATCTAATTGAACTTCAAAATGAATTTAATCTTCTTCAACAAATTATGGATATATTAAAAAATTCTTCTCAAAATTATTCATCAATGAAACTTTCAGAATTTATTCAAAATACTAATTATGATCATCGATTTATTCAACAATTTCAACAATATCAAATTAAAGATTTTCCTTTATCACAAATCAAAGATATTTGTCAATTATATGAACAGTCGATTAATCATTTTCAACATAGATTTATCAATGTATCTCATTTAATTCGTGTACCTCTAGATAAAAAACTCAATGATGAATTTGATCATATATTAAAATCTTCATTTATTTCTTCTCAAGATCAGACTAAGAAAGAAGAATTTCAAGATAAAATACAAATAATAACAGAATTTGTAAATGATTTAAAAGATGCAGAAGATCTTCTTGCTAGTCAATGGTCC